AAGTAAGTAAGTAAGTAAGTAAGTAAGTAAGTAAGTAAGTAAGTAAGTAAGTAAGTAAGTAAGTAAGTAAGTAAGTAAGTAAGTAAGTAAGTAAGTAAGTAAGTAAGTAAGTAAGTAAGTAAGTAAGTAAGTAAGTAAGTAAGTAAGTAAGTAAGTAAGTAAGTAAGTAAGTAAGTAAGTAAGTAAGTAAGTAAGTAAGTAAGTAAGTAAGTAAGTAAGTAAGTAAGTAAGTAAGTAAGTAAGTAAGTAAGTAAGTAAGTAAGTAAGTAAGTAAGTAAGTAAGTAAGTAAGTAAGTAAGTAAGTAAGTAAGTAAGTAAGTAAGTAAGTAAGTAAGTAAGTAAGTAAGTAAGTAAGTAAGTAAGTAAGTAAGTAAGTAAGTAAGTAAGTAAGTAAGTAAGTAAGTAAGTAAGTAAGTAAGTAAGTAAGTAAGTAAGTAAGTAAGTAAGTAAGTAAGTAAGTAAGTAAGTAAGTAAGTAAGTAAGTAAGTAAGTAAGTAAGTAAGTAAGTAAGTAAGTAAGTAAGTAAGTAAGTAAGTAAGTAAGTAAGTAAGTAAGTAAGTAAGTAAGTAAGTAAGTAAGTAAGTAAGTAAGTAAGTAAGTAAGTAAGTAAGTAAGTAAGTAAGTAAGTAAGTAAGTAAGTAAGTAAGTAAGTAAGTAAGTAAGTAAGTAAGTAAGTAAGTAAGTAAGTAAGTAAGTAAGTAAGTAAGTAAGTAAGTAAGTAAGTAAGGAAGGAAGGAAGGAAGGAAGGAAGGAAGGAAGGAATCAAGAAGGTAAGGTAATAATTAAACTAGTTGCTTAATGAATGAATTAAAATGAGGAGTTATTGTATATATCATTAGGAGAATTCATAATTGTTGTTCATCTTCATTCATATTGATCTATTTCAATTTGCGTGAAGAACGGATACTTCGGATCCGTTGTTGATTATTCAATAGAATAGGATACACAATGAGGAAAGCATCCAACTACGTCACAAAGCAAGCTCTTACTTGGAATCCTCAAGGTCAACGAGGGAGACCAATGAACACAATACGTCGAGAAATGGAGACAGACATTATAAGAATGAACAACAATTGGATAAAACTAGAAATGAAGGCTCAGGGTAGAATGGGTTGGAGAATGCTGGTCAGAGGCCTATGCTCCATTGGGATTAACAGACGTAGGTAAGTAAGTAACCAATTAGATGTTAACAGTTCAAGAATCGACATGTAAATAATGTACATTCTTTTCGCTGCATATTGTCATCAACCACGATATCTCTGATTGGGTTTTTTGTAAGTTGTACAATGAGACGTACCTGAATAGTTTGTGTAATTCATGGATATAATGATCTGTTGATACAAAGGAAACAAGGAAACAAATAACTAGTTGATATATCTAGATGACAAGAAACAGGTTATTCAGTTATTCAAGCAGGCTACAATAATAGGATGAAACAATTGTAGTTTAATAAAGGTCAATCAAGGTTGACACTAAAGGATTAGACAAATCAATCTGTGATAAATTCATACAAAAATTCACTCATATGGCATATATTAGTGATGACAGCATTAAAAATAGAATTAAAGATTAATCTTTGAGAGACCTAAATTATCTTCCGGACTATAAATGAAGAAGGTTAGGAGTTTGAGTCCCATGTATGTGACCGTAGATGCGTATTGCTGAAGAATGCCAAACTAGAACGAAAAGTCTGTTTAGTGCTTCCATTTTTTCAATTGTGGTTTAACATTGATCGGTTCATGATCTCAAATAATGCATGAAGAAAAAATATCTTAGTCTATTTTTTAAATAGTTGAATTCATGAATCAATTAAAGCTAGACCACCATGGAAAACCTGGGAGCATTGGACGATCGTTTCGTCCTAGTTTGGTACTCCTCAACAGTGCACATTGACGACTCCATCCACGAGAGTCCAACCCATGACCAATCGGTCTCGCACGCGATCGCTTAAGCTATAAACCACTGAGCCCATATCCAACAGCGTTAATGTCTAACGTAAACAAATCTAAGAAATCGCACCACCGTCCACCATTGTCTTCCGTGAGTTACTATATCACAACAGATCTGACCAAACTCCAATGGTCACGGCTTCTCATTAGAACTACAGGAAATATATCTTGGAGACCATCATTAGCGAACATATGTTGAGTAGTATTAGAAGGGGTTTTTGTGGATATTATAGTAACTGAATAGTTAAATTCGTTTAAAAATAAACTCATGCACCATGTGTTATTATAGACTTAACAAAATACAAACAAACATATAAACATAAACAAATGTTTGTGTGTTTATTTGTCTGACTTCAGTTGTTAGTGTACTGATCAGTGTCTGTTCTGCTTGTGTTGTTTTTTTAAATGCTCGTTTAGTTATTTTACTGGTGGAAGGGGGTGGATCTAAATTGAAAATAAGTCAGTGATATTTTATGAGCTATGCGAAGAAAGAAGTCAAGTTATCAGAATAGTATTCAAGGCTCGGTTTTCTTCACTTAGTAACTAATGCTCATCATTGCAATGGTAATTATTATGTAGCAGTAAATAAATCCTTAAAAATAAATAGTTTTGTATGTCTTTGACATTTGATACTGACCATATTAGTTTTAATGGACTCACGCATCTGCACCAGATCACGAGTGAGTACGCCGTGCTATGTATCTTTTACGACCGTTAACTAGCTTAGATTAAACGTTTCCCTATATATATATATACATATCGATAATCTTTAAATTATATCTTCGAATATCTTCGTTTCTGACTTCTGATTTCACTGGGTTGACATCCTTCAATCAATAAGGTGTTATGTGTAAACACGTTGTCAAACTTCGAATACCTGTAGTATCTTTAATCACAGTATAGTAGACATTAGGAAAATACGCAAGAGTGACTTGGAATTAAGATAGTAACTCACTGATAGCACAAAATAACTATGGTTCGATATATATACAGAGAGAGAGAAAGTCCACCTGGAGTCCCTCTGGGGCTACTGCCGGTTCAAAGCCCGGATAAAGGAGGAGGTTGGGCATGGGGCTAGCGACCCCATTCAGTAGAAGAACTAACTCGTTTAAAAAACGACTCTCCCCTGGGATTTAGAAGTTCTTCATTTAGAAGAGTTATGATGCCTCATGGTGAAAACTGAGTTCCTTCAAAAGTTACGAAGATGATATCCCTTCTAGCAACCACGGCAACCATTAATTTAAGTACAAGGAATGATCGTACAATATGAGAGACCTGGAGAATCATCCAAATTACTTCAGAAATGGAAAGGTGAAACCTAGAGTTACTTGGAATCAGTGGAACACATTGAACGCAGGTTGGAAAACAAAGACTAGCTTCAGGGGAGCTGCTGTTAAACAGTATACGGTTCGACTCAGTGATTGATGACTACAGTGCTTATCATGAGTGATAAAATTATATGTACTCATTCACTTGTGGGTAGTATTGTGTGAAAATTCTCGGTATCTTAGTAAGAATCTATAACTAATACAGTTCAGTTATATTGGATATGAGACAGTTACCCAATAATAATGAATCGGAAGGTAGTTACTCCATACTCCAAATTAATTGAAGTTATAGATTTAAACAATTGTATGACGTATTGGTGTTCCAAAATTTGGTAATCACATAGACGCCTGAAGGTTCAAAGTACATGTCCTATACTAGAGTGAATTAGTTGGTCAGCGTTTTATAGTTTTCACAATGGATGGATCACTGGGTGGTGATCAATATCATGCAAGTCAAGTCCTTCTTAGTGCAGATTAAATGCTATCGACCAAGTTGCAATGTGGCCACTAGTCTAGGAGACTCAACACTGTGTGCGCTATGATGAGATAAGATGGTGGTTACAGGTAGTCCACAGGAAACCCTGGACCCAAGTTTCGTGCTATTTGGCACTCATCAGTAAGGTGTACCTGTAATCTTGAGGGAACTGGTGCTCGCTGACAGATTCGATCCCGTGTCAATCAGCTTCACAGTCAGAGACGTGACCATTGAGCTATCCGGGCCGCGACCGACCTCCTGTAAGACTGAGATGCATCTACAATTGACTGATCACCATCTGGTGATCAATTTCATGTGTGTCAAGTCCTACTTTAGTGCAACAAGGGTGAATTAGTTTGTCAGGGTTTTATAGTTTTTAATAATTTAATAATGACGATTCTTATTACAAAAGTTTGTAGCAGTAAATAAATTCCCAAAATCAATAGCTGTGTAAGTCTTCAACATTTGATGATGGCCATATTATGTTTTAATGGACTCACATAGCTGAATGCGCTCAGTCACGCATCCGCACCAGATCACGAGAGGGAACGCTGTGTTCAACTTCTCCTACAACCGCTAGGCAGTTCAGATCAGTCAATTCTCGATATGTTGATAGCCTATCAAATATATCCTCGAACCTCCTCTCTGCTGACTTCTGATTTCATTGAGTTGTCACGTTTCGATTATAGAAGTTGTTACTGATTGAGGCGTTGTTAAACTTCAAATACTAGTGACATCTTCAAGCTTACAATTTTGCGAATATCCACATTTACGCATGCACACACTATACAAGAATGTAGATTTCTCTTGCTCTGTAATTCCCGAGTTTTTATTTTTGGCCTCTTCCAAACGTGTTATTATTGCTGTATTTCAGAAGACAAACAAAAATGAAACCAATGAGTTTTTTTCCTTCGAAAATCAAAATGATTACGTAATTGTCCACCAATCATCACAACCACCACAACTACCAACCTCTACTATTTCAACAATAAAACGACCAGATTATAATTTGAAATACACGTAATTATATAAGACGAAAAAAACAAATTAGATGGTGTAATTAACACTGAATGATTGTTGCTATGGCATAATTGTCAAGTCAGAATTCATGTTATCTAAATGATTCTTGATAGAACTAATTACGCTACTCTCTGTTTCTCACATTTTCGCTTGCGGAAGAAGTTGTTGAGTCATGATTAAATTGTTAGCGTCAAAAAGTCAATATGTAAACATTCTGTCTTTAGTTTACTAGACATTTTCCCATACGCAACACGATGATGATGATGATGATGATGATGATGATGATGATGATGATGATGATGATGATGATGATGATGATGATGATGATGATGATGATGATGATGATGATGATGATGATGATGATGATGATGATGATGATGATGATGATGATGATGATGATGATGATGATGATGATGATGATGATGATGATGATGATGATGATGATGATGATGATGATGATGATGATGATGATGATGATGATGATGATGATGATGATGATGATGATGATGATGATGATGATGATGATGATGATGATGATGATGATGATGATGATGATGATGATGATGATGATGATGATGATGATGATGATGATGATGATGATGATGATGATGATGATGATGATGATGATGATGATGATGATGATGATGATGATGATGATGATGATGATGATGATGATGATGATGATGATGATGATGATGATGATGATGATGATGATGATGATGATGATGATGATGATGATGATGATGATGATGATGATGATGATGATGATGATGATGATGATGATGATGATGATGATGATGATGATGATGATGATGATGATGATGATGATGATGATGATGATGATGATGATGATGATGATGATGATGATGATGATGATGATGATGATGATGATGATGATGATGATGATGATGATGATGATGATGATGATGATGATGATGATGATGATGATGATGATGATGATGATGATGATGATGATGATGATGATGATGATGATGATGATGATGATGATGATGATGATGATGATGATGATGATGATGATGATGATGATGATGATGATGATGATGATGATGATGATGATGATGATGATGATGATGATGATGATGATGATGATGATGATGATGATGATGATGATGATGATGATGATGATGATGATGATGATGATGATGATGATGATGATGATGATGATGATGATGATGATGATGATGATGATGATGATGATGATGATGATGATGATGATGATGATGATGATGATGATGATGATGATGATGATGATGATGATGATGATGATGATGATGATGATGATGATGATGATGATGATGATGATGATGATGATGATGATGATGATGATGATGATGATGATGATGATGATGATGATGATGATGATGATGATGATGATGATGATGATGATGATGATGATGATGATGATGATGATGATGATGATGATGATGATGATGATGATGATGATGATGATGATGATGATGATGATGATGATGATGATGATGATGATGATGATGATGATGATGATGATGATGATGATGATGATGATGATGATGATGATGATGATGATGATGATGATGATGATGATGATGATGATGATGATGATGATGATGATGATGATGATGATGATGATGATGATGATGATGATGATGATGATGATGATGATGATGATGATGATGATGATGATGATGATGATGATGATGATGATGATGATGATGATGATGATGATGATGATGATGATGATGATGATGATGATGATGATGATGATGATGATGATGATGATGATGATGATGATGATGATGATGATGATGATGATGATGATGATATATTTATTTGGCTCAATAGAGATTTGTGAGATATATGATGACAGATTTCTACCACATAGTAGACAACTTAAGTTGATAGATGTTTGGAAGTGATTAGAGACTGAAGAAATGAATGAATCGAATCCAAAAAAACGTTGTTCGAGGTTGTTTTAATTTAGCTCCTTTTGTTTTGGATGATTCAAATTAGATAAGGAATATTGTTCAGTGTCTTGTGTCTGTCAACTTATTTATCGTACGAATATGTTCATAGTAATCAAATGTTCGTCATCATGCTTTTTTTGGTTACTTACATTCACAGGGTGTCTGTATATCTTTCAGCGAGAAAAAGATCAATGCTCATAAAGTCTTCAGATTACTGTGAATCAATAGATGTATTTACTAAAATATGATCTTCATGACATGGCAACCATCGATTGTTAATCGATGAGTTTTGATTCGAATCCTTCTTCAACTTATTTACTTCATGTGACTTATTATTATGATTAGTATCGGTGGCAAACATTTCTCATGAAGTTGACCATAGAATTAGTCGGCTAAGTTAGAAATGGCTTGGTTGTATCTAAATAAAATTAGTTGGCAGTCGCTTTATACAACAAATTGAATAGTAATATGTAATTAAGCACATGATCTTGGATTTCGAAGGAAAGACAGTGTCACTATTTACTGCTTTCTAAATTTTGAGGAATTCCATGGATTGAAATGAAGAAACGAACATTTACACACAAATAATGATAGAAGTGACGAATTTCAATCTGTAATAGAATTGTTCTATTTAGAACTAGTCGATGTCCACTGTTGGATTCGAACCTAGTACCTTTTACTTTAAATGAAATCGCTCTGTTCGCTTAGCTACTCATAGGATTTATATGCCCTAACTACAAATTAAAACAAATACGGAGAATGACTAGATTATACAATGGATATTTTAATATTGAATGTAAACTTAGTATGACTTTAATGTCAAATTGATCTTGTCATTTATCACCAAACACCATCGAACTACTTGACATGAAACTTTTCCATCTATTAGTAATTTATTTTAAGATATAAGTAAAGATAGATGGTTACTGGCAGTGGAAATCATGACTCATGTTTTGTCCTATGTGGGACTCATCAGCTGGATATACATGAATCTCAACGTTGATGTTCACTCTGGGACTCGAACCAGTACCGTTCACGTTTAAGGCATGACATTTCCTATCTCTTTCTATAAATAAATATATCTTTCCTCTCAATCATGATCTCATTCTGTCTTTTAAAATGAACTGTTAAAATATAATCAGAGACCTATTCTGTATTTATTGAAATCTTTCAATTAGAATTTGAAGATGTCCAGGTATTTGTAGTTTGACAACACCTTAACCAGTAACAACTTCCATAATCGAAACGTGACAACCCAGTGAAATCAGAAATTCCCAGATAGGAGGTTTGAAGATATATTTGATAGGCTATCAACATATCGAGAATTGACTGACCTAAACTGACTAGCAGTTATAGGAGAAGTTGAACACATCGTACTCACTCGTGATCTCATATGAATGTGTGACTGAGCGCATTCAGCTATTTGAGTCCATTAAAACATAATATGGCCATCATCAAATGTTGAAGACTTACAAAGCTATTGATTCTGGGGATTTAATTACCGCTACAAATTTATCAACTCGATCTCGTTTATATCCAATGGATTTGATTAGATAATCAATGTGACATAAATTACAGTTTGTCACAAACCTAAGAACTCCCAGTTGATAATCAATCAATTTCTTTTATAAGCAAAACTACGTGGATTGATTAAAATTAGACATTAACACGGTTGGATACCGGCTCAATGTCATAGAGGTTAAGTTTTCGCATGCGACACCAAAGGTCCTTGGTTCAACTCTCTCGGGGTAATATCGTGGATGCTCACTACTGAGTAGTCTCGTACTAGCAAGCGACGGTCGTCTAGAATCCCGAATAAACAACATGTGTGATAAATAAATGAGAAGATTTACAAATATATGTGTAGGCATAGCTTTCGAGATGCACAGAGGCGTCTTCAGGGACCCTAAAGGAGACGAACAGTTTCCATTCAATATTAAAAGAGTTTAAAATATAAATTATAGATTAGATAATAAATATTCTATTAGATTATTTCACTTGAATTGAATTATTGACTTATAATTGAATTCATGAGTCAATTAAAGCTAGACCACTATGAAAAACCTGAAAGCACCGTACGGTTGTTTCATCCCATAGTAGTGCGTATCCTCGGTTGCACACAAGGGACTCGAACCTATGACCTTCGATTTGGCACGCGAACGTTTAATATATAAACCATTGAACCAGTATCAAATGGTGTTAATATCGAACTTCAATTAATCCACTAAACGGGCCATCCAATACTTCCAGATTTTCCATGATAGTCTAGCTTTAGTCAACTCATGAAATCGGCTATTGAATTACTACTTAACCTTTCAGCAAAAAAAAGCTTCTTTTTTCTCTTTTCTTTAGTTCAAATATCTAACTCATGTTAATTACAGGGCTAACATTGAAATGTCCATTGAAATCACAACAACAACAACAACAACAACAACAACAACAACAACAACAACAAAACCCTCAATTTTTTCAATGATTTTCAACATCATTTGAACTTGAAATCCTAGAATAATACAATCGATATGTTGTACCTATGTGTGTGTGAGTGTGTGTGTGTGTGTGTGTGTGTGGGAGAGCGGGTAGGTGGTCGTGTGGGTTGGTTGGTTGGTAGATGGGTGGATTGATTGGTGTTTGTATTCTAATAAGCCGATTAATACTACTGTTGTCATTCGAATAATAGATCAAATCATCAATATCTAACTATCCATAGGTCGAATATAAGAAAAAAAAACTTTTTGCTTAAATATAACACTTTCAATGTCAACAAACGTATAATTAAGAGATCTGAAAAAAAAAATCAGCAGCAACAACAAAACAAGAGAGAAAATTTTTTTTTATTTCGACACTTTTTTTTGTGTATGTTTTTCAGTTAACAAAATGGACAAAGAATTTGATTAAGTCCTCATTTTAAGACGTTCAAATTGAGAATGATAATTAGAGATAGTTAACAGGAAATTATGAAAGTAACTTTTGTACTACTTGATTCTTGTCAACAAGGTATACCTATAATCTTGAAGGAACTGATGGCTTCAGATGCTCTGTTATGGTCGAGGATGAGGAGAGTTAGCTTGTCCTCTCGAAACGCTCTCACATGGTCACATGTATATAGTCACTGTCAGAGAAGTCCTACTCAATGCATTCTCGTGGCGAGGGTGTTGTTTACGAAATTGAAAGAACGAAAAGTGAATGTCCAACGCCCTGACTGGGTTGGTGGACGTGGAGAGTTCATCTAGAGGAGTTAAGAAACCCTGATTCCAAAGCATTGGTGCACATGGGCTGTCTCCAGTATCCTGAAGGGACAAACAGCATATGAACCTATTGTTGGTCACTGGTTAACATGGGACTGCATCTCCTGATGTTGCTCCACTGCATTGTGGGTCAAAACTTTTGGTCAAAGGCTCGGGATGTGGTCCCTTAAGGAAACCACCTGTTTCGATTTGGGCACCCGGACAGTACCACAGCCCATAAAAAAGCAAGTTACTTGTATGGTGCACAAGTCTTCGGCGCCCCTTTGCACCAATATTTGTGTTCAAATATACATAAAAACCTGATGGATTCGATTAAGAGTCACTACCCAGTAATCAGTTGTGGATTGTTTGATATCAGACACCAACACGATTGGATGCCGGCGAGATCAGTGGTCTAGTAGGTTAAGTGTTCGCGCGCAAGACTGAAGGCCATGGGTTCGAAACCCGCTAGCGGGATCATGGATGCTCACTGTTGAGGAGTCTCACAATAGGACAGAACGGCCGTCCAGTGTTTTCAGGTTTCCAACGGTGGTCTAACATCAATCGGTTCATGATCTCAATAAAAAAACTTAAACGTCCTAGATTCTTTCACTTAAAAAAAGAAAAGGGTATTACATAGCTCTGATGATGATTTATTGATGAGTATTGGTTTCAAATGAGATACGAAAGTGGTATTATTATAAACTCAACTGCCAAAGTATCTGGGAATAACATTTGTTCAGTAGAGTACAATTTTTGAAAACAGGCTATTCTATTAGTTTAATTCATAAGTCAATGTATGCTGGACCATCATTAAGAACCTGGAAGGAGTAGACAGTTGCTTCGTCCTATTATAAGAATCCTCAGCAGTGCGTATCCACGATCTTGCATACGGAACTTCATCATATTCACTTTTTCCATAAATCATCATTTCTTATAAACTTTAACACCATTGATTTACTTAGGTACGATGCTTGAAAACTTCTATAAACTTTGTTAAGTAACGTAATAATTCTTTCTAACTCCGCCTGGAGACCCTCTGTGGCTACTGACATTTCCAAGCCCAGATAAAGGAGGAGGATTGGCTATGGAATTAGAAACCCCATCCCGTAGAAAATTAACTCTCTTAAAAAACGTTAACTAGAAAAAGTTAATTCAAACCATTACATAAAAAACATTTTCTTTCAGTTATAAAACTTGAAATCTCATTCTTTAAGTTGACGACTGTAAATAATCAATGTCTTTTTGGAAATGGAAATCCTTAGCGGATTACCTTGACATTACTAACGGTCAGGGTTAGGTTGTGTCTAGGAGTGAGACTCAAGGGGGTTTCGTTTCATCTTAGGACTCATTAGCTGAATTAACTGAATAAAGACATTAATATTCGTCCCATGACTTTATCCCAGGGTTTATCGTTTCAATACAGTCTCACAACATACAAAAGTTAATTAAATTACTCACTAGTGCTTAAAACAAATGATAGCATAGAAGCCATGACCAGTGGAGCTAATCCATGTTGGATAGAGACATGTATCTATCTACCTCAGTGCAATGGAAGATGGTCGCGCAATTTCATGGATTGGTTAAAGTTAGACATTATCACAATTGGATGCCGGCTCAGTGGTCCAGCACGTTAAGCGTTCGCGTGCAAGGCTGAAGGTCATGGGTTCGAATCTCACGAGCGGGATTGTGAATGCGCACTGTTGAGGAGTCCCACAATAGGACGAAACGGCCATTCAGTACTTCCAGGTTTTCAATGACGGTCTAACATCAATTGGTTCATGATCTCAATCAAAAACTTAATAATCTCCACAACCCTTAAACTGATAGTATTAAGTTAGAATCTCAAATATAATATGCAATTACATTCAATAGAATAAAATATTCATATTGTTTTCCAGGGTTAGTTACTCATCAACTTTTCTTCATATTGAGTTGGGTTTTTTTTTGAGTCCTATTCTATTATTGATTACATTTTATCGATCAAATTTTGGGATAATATCAACTATATGAATAGTACTCATTAAACCAATCAATCGATTATTTTGTACAGTGCAAAGGATACAGAATAATAATAATAATAACAGTACTATACCCCCACCACCACCACCATTACTACTACCACCACTAGTAA